AAAGTGGAACTAATAAAACATAATAAATAAATATCTATAATGATATTTAGGAAGGGACATTTGCATACGAGTATAGAATTGGCGAGTAACTAGTTGTAGCGATGTTGGAGATTATAGTTTCCTATTCCCGTTGTTAGTTATATGTAGAGGGCGTAGATAAAGAGCAAGTGGAAAGGGATTTGCAGATAAAGGGGGTAATTACCCGCTGGACCGCGGTCGTCCTTAATCAATAGCGGACAAGTCGTGTGTGCGAAGTTGGCCCTCCGCCCGTCCCTTTACGACAACCCCTTCCTTCCTTTGCTTCCCGACAACAGAGCCTCTGCCTTCCATAGAACAGCAGCAGCAGCAACAGCAGCAGCCCCTTTGACACTAACTTCATTTGCATGGCCAAAAGCACGCGCGGTCAATGCCGATTCGCCGCCGCACCGTGCCTCCCTACGTGAGGTACTGGAAAACGTTGACTTGTTACAATTATTGTCAGATTGCTTGCTCCTTTTTATCCAATCGTCACTCTTTTACATCTCTATCAATTTGTTAAATAAATATTTAATTGATTCTTAAGCTTTTTATAATTTGTTTAATCCCTGATTGGCTAGGTACTTATTAAAGGTAATTCTTTCGTTTTCTACTTACAACTTTTTATTACTGCTCATAGGTACTTTTTCCGTAATAGAACAACAAAGGGAGAGAATGAGAGAGTTGTATTGAAAAGCGTAGTGGGCGACAGGCGAGGGTACGTTGAGGCAGTGGAAGTTTAGAATGTAAAGTAGGTAGGTTTTCTGGTGGTCTCCGTCCAGCGCTACTGCCCCAAGGTATTGATCCTAGAAGAAGGCTTTAGAGATGTTGGTGGTGGTATATGCTAACACGCATTTCACTTTGACTCTGCCTTCAACGAATGTTTTATATCAGAATCTGTGATGTGTCTTCTTCACTTTCACTTTTTTCAAAGATATTTTAGAAATTTGTTTTAAAAAAGTTAAAATTCGAAAAACGAACTTATCATGATAACATTCCCAACCATTTTCTGTCGAATACTTGAGAAATGTCAAAAATTGAAAAGGCAAAACTGAATACTTAGGCGCATGAAATGTTTGTCAAATTTTCATGGTGATATGGATTTTTTTTATTATATTATCAACATCATTCACATGAAAGGCAGTTATTTCTGAAATATTTCCTGAATTTATACTTTATAATAGGTACCTATACAGGTAAGGCAAATAAATTTACAAGTACCTTCCGCCAACGTTGAATATAGGTAGATGATGAAGTAATATAAGTCAAATAAATGCAATTTAAAGTCTTTGAGGGGTGTTACGCTTTGTTTAAAAGATTTTGAAAGTTTTTTGATTAGTTTACGATAGTTTTTAGGAAGGCAGGTTGTATTTTTAAGTAGTCGTGGTTGAGAAAGCATAAAAATGACGACAAAGAAATGTGTGATTTTTAAGTTCAGTGTACGTACTTTTTGCCTTACCTGTATAGTTATATTTATAACGATAAGAGTTATCCGTTTCTATCTGTTCTACAGTGTCCCAAACTGTAAGCAGTTTCCGTAGTGTAGTGGTTATCACGTGTGCTTCACACGCACAAGGTCCCCGGTTCGATCCCGGGCGGAAACATATCTTTTTTTGCGTTTCTCTTGTTATGATGTTTAAATTTTATGTTGAAAAATCTAAATTACGTGTTTAGCTTATAGCCCAAGTTCTGCAAATGTGTTCTAAGAAATGAAGTTCTCGTTATTACTGTTAGTTTTATTAAACTATGTTAGAAATAGGTACATATTTTCTTTTTAATTTGTTTCGCTAATCATTGAATTTAATTCAATTATTATTAGTGAAACAAGAAAATCAAAAAATTAAACGGAACTTTGCGGAACTGCATTAAATATTACACTACATATTATGTATACATATTATAGAAGATAAAAAATATCATGTGTTGAAACGTGTTTAATTACTTAAACGTTTTTATATGCAATTTTGGATTTTACTGTTTTATTCAATTAGTAAGTATTCACATTTTATAAGAAAGTTTCTTTAAATTCCGTTTACATAATCGTAAGTAAAGTAGTTTTTAAATTTTTTTTTAAATTTTGGTAAATACGTATTATTAAAAATGTGTAACTATTTGGTAGTACAAGTTATTATAAGGTTCATTTGGAAATTTAGCTCATAAAATGATGTTTGTATGGGCATTATACATTTATCCACAAATTTTAGCAGAAACTTATAATTACCTAAAATTTCCAAAATACTTTATACAAATTAACTTTCTGAGAACAATCTTTCATAGGTATCGTATCTAACGATATCTGATTGCTACACGAATTCCCTATTCGAATTTTCCTGCAAAGTACTAAAGTCATTAAATATTAATCTATTTCCTAGGATTATTCAAATAATGTATGTTTAAAAGTAAAGTTATTCTAGAAAATACAAACTTATAGTAATAATAATCAATTACCTACCTCAGAGAGCGAATTTTAAAACTGAATTTTAAAATTTTAGAAATTTAAAAAATATATCAACGAGAATAACAACTATAAAAAACCTTTTTAATAAAACTGTAGCTCTTAAACTTTAATTTCGTTTTATTATTATTGTAATAATAGAAATATAAAGAAATTTCATGTACTAACAGTAGTATTTTGATTTATTTCTTAAGGAAAACTGAAAACTTCTCGTATATGTACTTGCAACTATTGAACCTATTTGTTATTTGCGTTATCCTTTATGATTAACTGGAGTCTAAATTGAGGATGGCACTTGAGTGTCGAAACGCGTTGTAGGTTTTAAACGACTTATGAGGAATTTTTAGTTGTTGTAGTGTTTTGTTTAGTTCAGTTCCACTAAACTCCTTTTAATTTTCATGTCTGCAAGTATCTAGATTTTGATAAAGTTATTTGGAGACAGAACTATCGGTGGCCGAGTTAAACGCACATTTGACAATATATTTTCTTTTCTGGAAAATTATAAAACAACTAAGTGTATTTTCTGGGGTTCCTGTCGTCGATCGTTTGTTTACGAGCGAATGAATCTGGAATTCGACTGTTAGACAACAGCCATATTGAATCAATTATAGATTTGTTTTGTGTTAATGCTTGTTTACTGTTGTAATTTTTGTACCTATTTATAATAGAAAAAAGCTGACCATTTTACGCGACAGTAACCTTCGACGACGTTGTTCTACGACTTCTTATATGGGTGAAGTTAATGATCTCAGTTCAGGAATATAAGAGATTCTTAGCCCTGACCTATGCACAAAACTTTTCGTTGAGCTCCGGTTTCGTGTTTTCTACTGCGCGGAATGAGCGGAAAATGAACGGCGAGAGATAAAGAAATTCGTGTATTATTATTAGAAGAGTACCTATATGATGTATAGATATTTTATCCGGCAAGCTACATTTATTTTGGACAAGCGGCAAATACGGATAATACTTCGGGAGAAAAATGCTATGTATTCCTAATATGTATTTACCTACTTACGAAAACTACCAATAAGCTCACGATTAATCGTAAATCAACTTTGCGAACTTTCAAAAGCGAGTAATATTAAAATTAACTACCTAAGATACATATACTACAATAGGACGAGGGAATTGAAGACGATGCTTGAATATTTATTTACGAGGATAAACATTTTTTTTGATGGAATTCGAAATGGAATATAAGTACCTACCTACAACAAAAATTGGTACCCCTTAATGCCTGCCCTCTACTGGGTACGTACACTATTGGTGTTACAAACAGCTTCAGTATCTCGGGGCAAGATAATAAAATTTAATTTTTGTTCATTGTGTGCGTTATTAAGCTAAGTAAGTACATATTATAAAGTTTCATTCCTTTCAACCAATAAAATAGGCTTCAAACTTAAAGACGGATGGAAGAAGAATGTTAACAGTTATAGAGAAAACCTGTTGTTAGCTTTTATCTTTGCCGCTCTCTAATAGTTCAGTTGAAAGTTATCGGGTAGAACCCCGCTGCTTTAGGACAGCGGATACTAAAGGAGAAGAAAGAGGGTAAACGACCCTCAACAATAAGAACAAGTAAAAATTGTTGCATGATACCTATTTCGCTGAAATCTTCTTTCGATTATTTTCGACAGTTTATTAAAGTAAATGGGAGAATATTGATGATTGATAATAATAATAATAATAATAAACGGTACCCACCTATATATGCATATATATGTATATATATATATAAATAACAGTGTCGAAAACAAAACATAATGCGTTAATTAGATAGATTATAGGTATATTGTAAATTGAGAGTAAACCTAAAAGGGAACGCGCAATCCTCGTAAAGTATTACAATTACCTACCCTGTTCCATTACAAATTATATGTAGATGAATTGTTTTAGCAAAAAACAATTATTTCATTTCTTTGTGTCTTGTCACGTAGCGGGGGTATATACATATGTAGGTAACATACATATTATAGGTGAGCAACACCGAGTAGTGTTTGACCCTGAATTCTTCGAGGCCTTGAAATGCAGCAGCCGAATTTTAAATTGCTTTAGGGAACCATTAACTTATACGAATACAGGTATATGTACCAGGTTGGACCATATTATTATGTCTCGTTTTCACATTATACTTATTTAATTCATCACGAAAAATAAAGTTGATGCCAAATTGACAATGAGACTACAATTTACAGAGACGCAGTCACAGCTACCTATTTGATTGTACCACCTTATAGGTTGTAGGTATAAAAATTCGATTGGAGCGACGAAATAATGTAAGGTCTTAGGTCAGTACACAACTGATCTGAGTACCTATGACACCTTGGATGCCAAAACACGTTTTAGGCTTTTTAAACGTTTTTATGGGGAATTTCGAATTTTAGTGCTTTATTTAGGTAATAAAAGTAAAAAATTACTGAAGTCTATCAGATCAGTCAACTATTTGGAAAATAATTTTTCTTAATTTTATTTTGCCTTGTTAGTTCACAAGAAAAGAAGCTCCGAACAATGTTTAGACACTAATTACCTTCCTATTTAGAAAATCATAAACCAATTAATGTAGGTGAACACGTCTAGATTGTTTTTATATAATATCTACTAATAACTAGCCTGGACATCGAGAATTCGGCAAGGACAAAGGTACATTTACCTTTACTTACTTCATTAAACAAGCATAAATGCATCATCTCGCGAAAAAAAAAAAACAGAAACCATAGTCCAGATGCATTTATAAGAAACCGGTCTTTTTCATTACTATTATTAATTAGTTGACGTTTCGTTGGACTGTTGAAATAATATAGGTAAGAATTGCTAATTTGTGCCGCGCTTGTTTTAATTTTGTTTATTTATAAAAAGGTAACAATTCCATCGTACCATGAGGTAGTACAAACTGTACCTAATGTAGGCAGTAGCTAAGATAGTCGCTTTATTTTTGCGCTAGTTAGCAACCAAATGCGAAATGAATTCAAATTGATCAATTTAAAGAAACAGCATGGATCGAATTAGTGTTTCATTGCCAATGTCCTTGTCCTTTCTCAACTTTATTTACATTAATCGAATCTTTCTGCATTATGTATTACCTGCAAGTTTTTTTACTGGTGGCATTTGGGATATTGCGAAAACAACGGTTTAAATCTCAATCTCCGTACGCGGGATAACTTTTCGATTTTCTTCCATAAGAAAGGCGATTAATAAATCGCTTTTCCTACAAGGAAGTAATGAGGGTAACGTTGTCAATTCCGACCGCTAGATAAAACATATTTGAAACCGGAAAAGTTTCCGCGAACCGAGTGATCAAATTCATAGAAGAATCAAAAGTAAGCTTTTTGGAGGGAACCGATTTAGCGGTTTAGTTTAAAGGAAATTAAAGCGTTTTCTAAGTACCTTGGTAAGTATTTACATCTTTTTTTATTTGGACGATGATGCTGTTTTGTGTAAAAGAAATAAACAATAGGTGCGGAGGGGGTGGAGGGACTTAGCTAAAATCATAATCCAAACAAGACGACTTAAAAATGCAGCATCTTACTACCCCAACCAACCCCTAACGCATTAAAAGGAACCACGTCATTGGTCGAATCTCGGAGAACTGGCCTATGCGACTTGCGAAACACGCAGCACGGAGTGGACCACCGAATTCAAGAGAAGGCCCAGTCGGTGAACGAGCGGCAAAGCGATCGTGGTCTTCTGCCAAAAATTTCAATCTAATATTTCGTTTGAAGTATCGTTTCAGTGCATAATTGTTTGTTTATCAAGTGACTGCAATTAGAAAACATTAAAAAGACAATAGTTTAATAACAATGACCGGTTAAACAATCACGGACGTTTCAGTCGATTATCCAATAATAATCATACATAATAATGGGCTAAACAAAACGAGTGTTTCAAAGTTTGCTTTTCAGTTTTTGTTTTGTTCGATGTTATTAACTCTGATGATCGTTTTCCCTTGTCGTCGTATTGAGCTCACGAAGGGCATCGTTGTATTGCGAACGGGACTCGTAACTATTAGCATGTTATGATAAGAAGCGAGTGGAAGTTATTTTTTAAGTTCGAAAGTTATTGTGTCTTTTGTTTTCGCGGAAAACTCAAATTTTTCTCCGATGGCTACGAATAGCAGTGCCGCTACGCAAGCGCAAATCCAGCAACAGCAGCAGCAGCAGCAGAAACAACAACATTTTCAAACCACCGGCAGTCCTCATCACTGTAAGGAATGCGGATTGTTTCTGAATTCTGCCGAATCGCTCGAGGTTCATCTTCAATACCACAAGGAGAACCTGCTCAACAAATGGGCTACCCAGGGAGCTTCGCATTCGGAAGAGACCAATAACAATACCACATCGGCAAACAGCAAGGCGCTCTGTATAAAACGTGAGTTTGTCGGTACAAATACTATTTCTGCCGCGGCAGACAGTTCCGATGCAATGTTCAAAAACAATAGTAGGGCCAGTCCCGAAATCATCCTTGGTCATCCGCCAACTCCTCAAAGTTACAACAGCGCCTCCTCGCCCTACCAGAACCACGAGAACTCCTTCTCTCCCGGTTTTCAAAGTTATCAGTCTATCAAAACCGAACCAAGTTCGCCGAATAACTTCCAACAGCAACAGTCATATCATCAAAACTACCACGACAGCCAGTATTTCATGGAAAGTTCGCAAATGCAACAACACAATTATTCTCAGGATTATTCCGTTCACAAGCTACCCAATCAATCGTCTTATCGTTACCATCCTTACCACCAACAAGTTTACGAGCGAAATTCCCAGGCACAAGTGTCGTCTTCTAGTCCTGTTTATCCGCCTCAGCCTACGCCATCTCCCAGTCCAAAACAATGCGATAAGTGCGGCTACGTTTGCGAATCCGCTTCGCAACTGATTGAACACTTAAACGTCTCGCATCCGCCGACTCCGTCTACTCACTTGCAATCTTATCAACCAAATCGTCAATTCATGTTCGGTAACCATCATCAACATCATCATCACCAACAACAAATTAAGTCGGAGACCGATTCGCAAAGCGAAATCTTAGACTTGGATTCCCACAAAGTTCACCAGGTCTTTCCGGAAGAGGACAAACAACAGCAAAATAACGGCGAAGATAACGTCCACAATCCCCATTCTGTCAGTACAATGTTGTCTTCGTGGAACCATCACCATGTGCGCCAAAATCCGTTTGTTGACGGCGCAGACCAAAGCAAGGCATACCAACAAAATGGAATGGCACCGCCCGACCAGAAGTTATTCAGAGCCCAACAAATGGCTGGCATGAACGAATACATGCCGGCCGGGGTAACGACGACGACAGAAGACGGAAGTCGAAGTGGCAATCTCAATACGCAACAAACCTATAGACCATTCGAACACATGGCACCTACACCTTCGGGCCCCGTAATATCCAGCAGTCAAATACCTACGCCTCCTACCGTTGCCAGCGCTCCCGTACAAACCAAGGGAGCCAACTGGAAGTCTAACGAAGCCAGAAGACCAAAAACGTACAACTGCACGGCCTGCAACAAATGGTTCACCAGTTCCGGTCATCTCAAACGCCATTACAACACGACTCTCCACAAGAACGCGGTAAAGTCGAGCGGACAGCCGGATCCGGCCACTTTACCGATCAGTGCCCATCATCATCCGGCAAGGGACGCCATCAACAGGAACGACGACCAGTCGCCGGATCCGATGGACGACCAGAGGAGCGAGGATAGGAGTTTCGAAAGGCCGCCGTCGATCCCTAGCATTCTGCAGCAGTCCCCTGGAAATCCGTACGAACGATCGTCTCTGCACAATCCTGGTATGCAATCACCTATTAATACACTATCGAATCACAATTCGTTATCGAACAGTAGCATATCAAATTTGTCAAGTACGAGTCCCCCAAACGGGGAGGCAGGTCCCTCTGCTATTTCCAACCTCGATACGAGGGGCCTGCTTTCGCTTCCTTCTACTCCCAGCAGCCCGTTTACCAGTCCGATTCATCAGTACATGGCGTCTCCTTCGCACCACATGATGCAATCCATGGACAATACTTTTCAGATGTACCCAAACGGGTCGGCCCCCCACGTTATGCAAGTTACGGCTACCAGCAGTCACAGTACTACTGGTGAGCTCATGATGGCTACGGACTCTCAACCGTTACCCAGTTTTGCGCAGATCCAGGCGCACAGATTCGGGTTGCTTTTGGGATACGGAGCGGCTAACGTGGGGGGCATGGGTCCGGCAACGGGCCCTTATGCGACCGCCACCGCCACTTTCTACCACGACCCATACAACAACACATTGAACGGTGATAACATGAGGACTTTGATAACCGCTTGTCGACCAATTTTTGAAGACCAAATATCTCCAGATCTCAAGGCTAGTCTACCAGAGGACGTTCCGTATTCTCCTCCGAATCATAACAACAACTCGGTTCACATTCAAAGCATTCCGGAAGAGACCGATTCCAAGATCCACTTGCTGGAAAATATGAAAACGGAATTGGAACCTTCCAGAGCGCCGTCTCCGAAACAGAAGCGGGTCAAATTGGATTACGAGGACACCACGAGCAGTCCTTTGATAACTTCAACTGTTCAATCGAAACAATCTGGAGTGTTGCACAAATGCTTCGATTGCGATAAGATGTTCAACAGGGCGTGTTATTTGACGCAACACAACAAAACCTTCCACAGTGGCGACAAACCGTTCAAATGTACACGTTGCGGCAAGAGGTTTTCGTGCGAAAAACAGTACCAAAATCATTCGACGAAACACGCCGGCGACAAACCTTACAAATGCGACCTGTGTCCGAAACAGTTCAATCACAAAACGGACCTGAGACGTCACATGTGTTTGCACACCGGCCAAAAACCCTTCGCCTGTGACACATGCGGCAAAGGATTTATCCGAAAAGATCACATGCTAAAGCACTGCGATACCCACAGCAGAAGACCCGCTTCCAAGGTAGCTACTGTTCGATAAACTACAACAGAACGAAAAACAAAACAATGCATATCGGTATATCATGACGGTAATGAAAAGGAAAACCTGTCGGCTTTGAAATTTTCCGTTACCTACATAATTAACAAGAAGCAGTTGTACGTAAATTGTTAAGTTTTAACTTTGACTAGGCACTGTGTTTTGAGATCTTGCATTTAGTTTATTTGTACAGAACGAATGGGTCAGATGATGTTGCTCAATTTAACTTGGTTTCTACGAAAACAATACCTATGTATATCTATAATATGTAAAACAGCAATACCTCATTGTCTCAGTTAATAAAGTACCTCATAGGTAGAATTTTATATAGGTATGTACTATAAATAAGGCTAATTTATGTATATATGGGGTGTCTCATTGAATGGCCGTTGCCGATGTTCCGTATACATATTTAGNGATTATAATTTAGTTGAAAATATTTTTTTTCTAATTTTACTAGGTGTAGTACTTTTATGGTGAGTTTTCAAGGAATAAATATAAGTTTACTTGTAAAGAACCGTCTTTCATTAATACCTGTACGTTTACCTATGCATATAATAGGTTTACATGTATAAGTAAATGTTCATATATTATACCGAGATCATACATAGGTAGGTACTTTGTAGGTAGACATACGTATATAGGTACATATAATTAGAAAATTTTTAAAATCTTCATTCACATTTCCATTATTAGATATTATAAATAAGCAAGTGAAGTACAAGTAAGTGTACCTATTTTATAATATAATACATATGTATATGTTGTTGGTTGTTGAACACTTACTATACATTGCCGGACGAGAGGAAACATGGTATTGATCTTTGAGAGGGAAAGTATACATCCCCGCCCCGCAACCCCTAAGTACAAGTTCTAAGGCCGCTGGTCATTTTCATCATAGTCGACTCGTCTAACTTCTTTGCATATCATTAAAAACTTTAAAATCACAATAAACCGTCGCGCAAGTTTTTCTTAACGCAATAGAGAGTGAATCAGACAAATTTAAAGCCGGAAAAGTAGCTTGAACGTCTTTTTATCGAGGTGCCTAAAGTGTCTTGAAAAATATCCGATCAAATAATAGTCCTAGTTTCTCTTTAAGTTTAAAAAGCTCATATTTGTTTTTATCGAGTCCGATTATACTTGTAAATATTCAGCGAAATGGAACGAAGATTTTTGAGGATTCCAAATGCCTCTATTGTAAGTACATATATTTAATTATTTATAAAAGAGTTATTTTTAACGTTCGCAGATAATTTATTAATTCCGAAAAGGTTTTCGGAAATGAGCCAAAAAATTATTGCAGACGATGATATATTTTATAATGATATTGTTATTACATCCTATTGTGCCGATAGTCTTACGTTTGGGGATGGAAATCATTTTCTTTTATAATTTAACTCATTGGCAACTGTCAACCCGAAAACTCCGCCAATGAATTTTCATCCAACACGCGCCTTCCTCTGCTCCAGATCCAGAGAAAGTCCAGTGGTCCAAGTAAAGCGGCAGCATTAGTAAGCTACGGGAGTGAAAGTAAATTGGAAAGTAGGGAGCAACGGGCCGATAGGAGTGCTCTATCGATCTTGGCCACTGGGATGGTCTAGCGGACAAATATCTTGGACACGATCTTATGCATATGTAATATGAGATGGATGCTTTTGGCCTCATTTTAATTTTTCGGGACACTTTTCAAAATCCCTTTAACCTTCAAATTTTCTTTCGATTAATCTCAGCAGCCTTATTAATGGTAATATTTTTTGGGTTAGGTTATAAATATAATGTGACATTAGGCAGAAATTAACGTTTCATTAGAGGGTAGGTTCAAAATTTTTGTGAAAATGATAGAAGAAACTAATATTAAACAAGAGCTTAAAAAAAGTCCGGTATTATGGCAAAGACTGTCGAACGGTATTGCGATTCGGGACTTACAAGAAGAACAATTTCCTGTTGCTTTACATTTTCTTAAGGTTTATAAGTCATCTGCACATTTTTTGATATGAAAAGCATTTTAGGTATTTCATAAAGATACACCGAAACACTTGCAAGATATTTGTTTTTTAATATTATCTTCGAGTATGTGAAAGTTTAATTAATTATTTATTGAAACTATTTGCAAAAAAATAAATAAAACAGCGCATATCACATACTACCTGTGCGCATTAATTTAAAAGCAGGACTTAAAAAATTGTACATTAACCGCGTAAGTACACAAGGAGAAAGCAATTTCGTAATATTTTAGGAACATTATGTCCCTTGCGACGATTTTCTAGCAAAAATTGAAGTTAGTCGCAATCCCGCATCCGTAACTTCATTTCTCGAAAGAATCTTGTACCATTTGGAAAACAACTCATCGCTGATAGCAACACATGAAGGTTTTAAAAAGTTATATATATATATGACTATCATAAAAATAGATTATGTAAACTTGCATCATTTTTATCATAATTAATTTTTAATTGTAATGTAATAGTTACCAAATGTTGAATGTGAATCGTTACGTTTTAAACTGCATACTTTTAAGTTATGTTTGTTTTTAATTATTATTATTAATCTGTTCGTTAACGTCCGATTTCTTACTTGCTGCTGTTAATTTTTACCTATACTTATTACGTGTGTAAGAATTAATAAGTAAAGTGAAATGGAAAAAAAGGAAAATGATATTTATGGGTATTATTTGTTAAGACTGATAGTAATACGACAGAAAAAACCGTTCTTTCCCCCTCTTTTTTTTTGCTTTCTTTTTATATTATTGTATGTATTATGTATGTTACATTGCAGCGCTCCTTACTGTAGAAGTTAAGTTTTTATTAAAGTGTTATTTCAACCAATGATAGTTTCTTAAATAAATGCTCATTATTAATGGATACGGGTGGTTTTAAGTTATTTTTACATTTTTCTAATGCACCTATTCAAATTTTTTAGGTTTTAATCGGTTTTTTATAGTGGTACCTAAGTAATATCGCACGTTACATCAATTTCCATTTTACTTTTTAATGGTAATAATTACATCTTGTCCTTCGTTTCTATCTTTTAACTTTAATCCATTTGAAGAAAAAAAAGAAAATTTCTCAATAGGTACTTATCCATTATACGTATTTAGTGATCACTCAAAAATATCGTATCTGGCCTATCACCTATCTATATCTATAGTAATTTATAAATTTAAAAAAGAATTTTAATCTAGTTGATTGCCCGGTAAGCAGTATTAAAACATGTTAAAACGTGTTATTATTTACTACTTTAAATAAAATTAATTCTCACTTATTGTTAGGTAAGTAAACAGTAAAACATTTTTTACTTGATAAGCTAAAATGAAGCACTATTTTATTAATTGTCTAGACAAGAGGTACAATAAATGAAGATTAGATTTTAATGTTTTCGGTGGATGTAATATTTACTATTTCTAGTTCTGTGGTTAATTGGGGTGAGTCCTTTTTTATTTTATTATTTCTGTGACTGAAATGTTAATTATTAAATTTATGTAAACGTATTACTTTTCTAAATCTATTGTACTTAACAAAAATTCAAAAGTCCGTTGTATCTGGAGATGATCCAGCCGTTAATTCTGAGAAAAACCTGTGAGAAGCTGGCACCAATAGGTAAGTAAATAGGTATGTGTTTGGAATGAAATGAGTCACTTTAATTTCCTGAAGAATCGAGAATATGACATTGAAAAATGTTAATTTATTATTTTTGCGAAATAAATAAAATCGTTTTTTAATGGTCACGAATATTTAGACATGTAGGCGAAGCATATTTTTTAACAAATGAATTTTTTTTACATACTCGTTATATTACACAAGAAAGCAAAACGTTAAACTGACCGAAAATAAACGAAAAATAAAGTCACAAATTTGGTAATGCATTAATAAAAAGCAAAATATAGTAAGATCACAAGAGTGAACGAACGGGTAAAAACTTGGGTGTTAAGTTGTTTATATTTTTTTAATAAGAACGTGTTTTCTCATACGGAAGTGCAAAAACTGCCGCAGATAACTGTTGCATAGAAATTGGTGAAGAGGATATACCTACAAGGGTTGATCGTGGGAACGAAAAGGGGTTGGATGGATAGTCAGATGTTTGTAAGCCACAGCAGCTGAAACCGGCAAACGTCTGCCTGTCTTTGACTAGCACTAACGATAAGATGAGAAAATTTTTCACATCTTAACGTATCAGCAGCACCTACCTACATAAAACGGACGTGATTGGAAATAAGATTCGGAGATAACTAAAGCCACAATAATCATTCTGTTTTTAACAACTGAACTATTGGGTATAATGAAAACTGCCACAAAATATTGAAAATTAACGGTAATAAATCCCTTACACCGAGTAATTTTTTGAAAATTAATGATTAGATAAGTAATCGTAGAAGTTATTTCATAAGTACCTAACTTACTTAATTTTAATTTTTTGTAAATTGTACCTATTGTAATTTACGATTTTTGCCGATTCTTGCTCGAGAATCGTTATTTTTACAAAACGGCAATCGAATATTATCTACTCCTGACATAAATCATCATGCAGCTCAATAATAATGTATAATAATGAAAGGTTCTCAAATCTAACAGAATGTAACAGCTGATGTAGGGACATATAAGTATATAAAAGCCTGGGAACGAAGGTACTTTATCCGAGAATAAATGTATTTACTTTACACTATTATAAGATGAGCGCACCTGGAGTTTGCTGTCTCCGGTGCGATCAGGCGTTAGAAAAACGAAAAACCGCTCCATCGAGAAACAATTGAATGAACGAAAACAATGGTTCACTACAGATTACATTTCATAAACAAATTTGAATATTTTTCATACATCGAAGATGCCATCAACTTCATTAAAGACGGAAGGGTTTAAATATTCAGGGGCAAAAGATTAGTATGCTTAGATGTGCAGATGATATAGCAGTTTAGCATCTACATAGCAAGAAGAAGTTAGACATAGCTTTAAATAAAATGGATGCGGTATTAACAAAACAGTATTGTATGAAAATAAATAAAAGTAAAACAAAAATACTGATATGCAAGGGAAGAAAAAATAGGGAAAGAGCGAAATAGGAAATGAAATATTAGAAGTGGCTGATTTTAGGTATCTAGGAAGTCACATAAGTCAGGGATAAAAAGCCAGAGGATAGCGCAGGATAGAGTCGCCTTCAATAAAAAAAAGTGCGAAACACAACTTAATATCAAATATTTTAAAAAAAGTAATGAGTTCAATTTTAGAATAACGTACTCTAATACTTAATAATAATAGGTGCGTTTATTAACGGTCCTTTCAATTTCTCAGATGCAAACGTAAGATAAGAAATAAAATACCAATTACATATTAAAAAACAAACGGAGAAGTACCTAGTTTCTGTAGGTATCAGGTGATGAAACTTGTACAATGTATTTAGTAAAGCACCTGTTTTTTTG